TTGAGTTCCAGTCACCTCCCGGAGGTGCCTTGAGTTCAAGAGCTACCCTTGGGTTTCAGCCGCGGGTGCAGGTTTTTGTTTTTGTTTTTTTTACGCCGCGCGTTCCTGGTTCACGGCCTGTCCTTTTTGCGGTCCAGCCAGCAACGGCTACCGGTGGCGGTACTGGGTACCAGCAGTGGAACCGTGGGTGGTGGTGGGTGGTGGGTGCGGATTCCGGCGGGCCATTGGGGAACACACGCACGAAGACCGTTGAAGCGCGCGGTGCACCGTCGCAGCGCGCGGTGCACCGTCATCGGGGTGGGGGGGTTCAAATCGGTCGCGTGCTGCAGCTGCGCGTAGCCATTGGGGTGGATTGTTCTGGGTGAGGGATGTTCTACCGTGGCAGCTCCACATGGCAGTACAAGACAAGCACGGTTGCTGCAGGTTGCTGCACCGGCGTTCACACATTTCAGCTTTGGCTTGGTGAAACCCGAATAGGTGTTGGCCTTTTTCGTACGAACACCTCATCCTCCAGGCCGCCATAAGAAGGGTGTACGAGTACAGGAGTACGAATCCGTACTCATACGAGGGTGCGTACAAGTGGCAGCGCTTCGGTCGTGCGGCGCGCCTCCCTTTCTCATCGTCCCCCAAGTGCCCCCACCCCTCATCGAGTAGCAGCTGAGGCTATGGCCAACACTCTCCCACACACCACACCACACCGCACCTCTCTCTCTCTCTCTCTCTCTCTCTCTCTCTCTCTCTCTCTCTCTCTCTCTCTCTCTCTCTCTCTCTCTCTCTCTCTCTNTCTCTCTCTCTCTCTCTCTCTCTCTCTCTCTCTCTCTCTCTCTCTCTCTCTCTCTCTCTCTCTCTCTCTCTCTCTCTCTCTAGTCGAACCGGATGTCTGCACCTGCCAATCTCTATCTCCCTCTCACCCGTTCGTATTTTTTTGCCGTGCAGGGCATTCCCAGTCAAGGTAGGTGCTTGGTGGGTGTGCAAGATAAACCATACCACCAACACACGGCCCCAGCCTTGTAGAATTTTTTTTTTCATCTCCTACAAAAATTTTGGAGGCTTGGGCCTACCAGACCACAATGGCTGGCATCACCAGCCGAAAAAGAAAGGAACTGCACCTTTGCGGTGAAAGTCCGCCAGCGGCGCGAGGCCCAGGTGCTATGCTATAAAGACACCTCAAGATAGCTGCTTGATCATCGTGCAAGGAATATCATGCACATCAAGGCCAGACCCCATGCGCATCAAGGTCTGGTGCTATATTCAGTTGCGACTACTCCCAAAGAATTTCAAGACTTCATCTTCTTTTCTAGCAAACTGCAGTGGTGTTCACACCTGACCGTAATTACGTATGGATTCGATCCAGAAACTCCAGATGTGGTCATTACCTTCTCAGTCACCCTCACTTGCTTTCAAACAGATGACAAAGGGCCTCGCTCCACCACTCTCGAAATGTGCAAAACGAGAGTGAATCTTCTGCTAGAACAAGGAAAGATACATGGCCATGGTTTTTGTCTTTTGTGCATTTCCGGAGTAGTGGAGCCGCTGGAGCGACGCCCAAAGAAACATCAATTAGGGCATACTCAAACAAGACTCAGTGCTGAAATCATGTCCTTAGTGTGAAAGTTGAGCCATATTTGCATTTGAGATTCTGTACGTGACATTTTGGCCCTAAATTAAATGCGAGTCACTTCATTGCCACTGTGAAAGAGCATTATAGCTCAATTGACCCTAAACTAAATGTGAATCACTTCATTGCCACTGTGAATGTGAAAGGGCAAAGCTCAATCACTCACCTTAGGCACAAAACAAAAATTACCATCATGAATCTTTCCATGTTCTACTGGAAGATTCCTTCTCATTTTGCAAATCTGGTTAGTGGTGGAGCCAGGCCCAAAATATACCTGGCCACCAGCATGGAATCCCCACTGGGGTGAGGTGAAGCACTGATCTTGGGGCTTCACTTTCACCCCAGCCCACTTCTCCTCTCAGTTAGGTGTCCCCCCGGCAAGCTTGTAGGTTGTGTGTTGGACCCTTGAATTGGACATACACATACAGAAACCGCCGTAGAAATCATACTACAGTTGTGTGGCTCTGAGACGATGAAGCATGAGTGTCATTGGGTTCACCAGGTCACACGGAAGAACCCGTGCTTGGGTGGGTACACCTGGTCATCTTCGGGCTTCACTTTCACCCCCACACACTTAAACCATCAGTATGTTTCCCACAGCTATTTTTTCAGAGTCGCGGCTTGCATACAGCCACGACTCTGAAAAAATAGCTGGGAAACGTGCGGCCGCAAGTCTCCGGGGCTACCGGGAGGTGCCCGGTCTTGTGAGGCCCATTTTGCCTGGATGGACATCCAGCAAAAAGGTGCCCCAGGTTACATGTGAGGCCCATTTGCCTGGATGGATATCCAGCAAAACAGTGCCCTCGTACCTCCCAAAAATTGCCGCTTTATACAACCCGCATAATATTATTTGATTTCTTAGCGGGGAAACATACTCGTGGTTTAAACCACCAATACCTACGGCATTTTTCGTGCCCCCATCCTCGAATGAATTTGGACCAGAGGGGCAGGCTGATTTGGCTTCGGTATTAACGGCCGCCCCAACCGGTAGGTACTGGTGGTTTAACCTGTTGCTTATACACTTAGTCTAGGGTTGTGTGGCTCCGAGACATGGGCTCCGACACACGGGCATGTGGAATGAGTGTGGTTGGGTTCACCTGGTCATGGGAAAAATCCGTCCTTGGGTGGGTACATTGGGTCATCTTGGCTTGGAGCTTCACTTTCACGCCAGCCCACTCAGGCTATTGGTTAGGGACACTACTGTTGTGTGGCTCTGCGACTTGCAGGATGAGTGCGGATGGGTTCACAGGGGGTAAGGTCGGCCGTTGATCTTTGCTATCTACGGTCAGTATCTCTTAATTCGTGCAAGTGGGACCTAGCCCCGGGTCATGGTAAAATATGTGCATGTGTGGGTACACTTGGTAATTTTAAGGCTTCACTTCCAACCAGCCCCCTCAGCCTATTATTTAGGTACTGCGCCAGTTGTGTGGCTCTGAGACCTGTGGGATGTGACTGTGGTCAGGTTCATCCAGTCTCAGAACAACTTGGGTTGGGTGGGTGCACTGGGCCATCTTGCCGCTTCACTGTCACACCAGCCCACTTCGCCTATTGATTACCCAAACTGGGTCATCTTTGGGCTTCAATTTCACCCCGGCCCACTTATAGCCTAGTACTTCGGTATCAACCTGGCAAGCTATTCTTTGATCGGACATACACACCAGCAAGCCATCATACACAAACAGCAAACCATTCTTGGATAGGACAGAAGGCCTGCCCACAACACTCGCGAAATGTGGAAAATGAGAATGAAGCTTCCGCAGAAATATGGACATATGCACCCCCATAGTTTCTGTCTTTTCTGCATCTGGTCAGTTGCGCCGTGAGGCCCATACACAGCACAGCTTGTCCCTGTACACATCATGCACCTGGGTGCCTGTCCGGGGGCTAAGTCCCACTTACACTAATTAAGCGATATTGCCCGTAGATCGGATAGCAAAAATCAACGGCCAGAATCTCTTAATCCGTGCAAGTGGGACCTTGACCAGGGCAGGAGGAGTGCAAGGGGCGGCCCGCACACTGGAGCGCATTCTGACACTATCTTCTTCTCTCAAATAGAAAACAGCAGCAACATGAATGTGTTTGGACCGGATCAGGGTTGTATACGTTCATAATGATGCGGCAATATGGGCCTCGCTGCACTACTCACCGAACGGGCAAATTCAGAATGAATCTTCCACTAGAACATGGAAAGGTACAGCGCCATTATTTTTGTCTTCTGCCCATGAGGTGACTAGTGTGGAGCGAGGGCCGATGTTGGAGGAAAGCAGGCAGTTCATGGGAATACCAACTGAGCTGGGCCCGTTGGTGACGACCGCGGATCGAATTGAATCGTCAAATACCGGAGGCAAAAAAAAACAAACAAAACTAAAAAAACAAACGGATCATCAATGAAAAGCCACGTGACAGGAGAGGGTCTACGTCGATCCCAACCCCCCCCAACCACCCTTTTTACAACCAAAAAAAAAAGAAAAAAAAGCTAAGAAAGAAGGACAAGATGGGAGAAGAAGAAGAGGGTCTCCGTCGATCCCAGGCCCCCCCCAACCACCCTTTTTA